ATCAAAATTCTGCGAACAATAACTTAACTATCGACAGAAACATGAATAATGTTAATGACGAGGTTTAAGCAAGACACTGCTATTTTCTTACAGAATAGACGAAATCTATGGTGTAAAAATATCTCAATGCTTGCAATTCTAAACAGTAACATTATTTTTTTATAGCACTCCTCAATCACTGCTTTCTATCAATTGACACCATGTTTTTTTATTTTATAACATGTGGCAGAAAAAAACGTTGACAAAAATATTATATTTCTATTTAAGAAGAAAACAGTTTTATTGATTCTTGTTTTTAATAATTGATTTTCGTAGTTTTTTATTCACTTATATACCAGAAAATCAAAAGTTTTTTTTATAATAAAAATTCCAGCTAATAATATTTTCTTGCAGATCAAAGCGTTGGATTTTAGCATAGTATATATCTTTGAATAGATTCATGATATCAAATATTGATGACATGTACTACATCTATAAAAATATCGTTAGAACTCTTATTTCATTTTATGTTCTAGCTTTCAATTAAACTTGTTGGTTGCAACTTATATAATATGTTCCATTGTTTTTTAAATAATTTCTGTTAGGGATATCATAAAAACCAACAGCTTTCACCATTTAAGAGAGAAGACCCAAAACCATCGAATTATATCGAAATTCAATTGATCAACAGTTGACTAATTAGATGAAAACTGTGTGAGGATTTTCGAGAACGATGTTATAAACCTTTTTTCCTTTGCTGTAGACTTTCATAAGACTAGGCAACAGAGAGAATTCTTCTCTTTCAATCTATCCAAGGAGCACATTTCTAGCTTGTTGTGTTCAAGAGTTATGAGGCGTTTCCTGAGAAACCCTAATTTCAGCTAATTGATCTTTGATTACTCGGAAAAGTAGCTTGATAGTAGTGACTCATCGTGTTGAGTCAATGCTGATATTTGCTGTTGAGTTACAGCTGATTTGACAATGTTAGCTCAACATTTCTGAAATACCAATTCCTTCGTTACATATAGAGACTGTTTGTGGAATTGTAGAAATATTCAGACAACAAGATCAAATTAATTTGAGCCAAATACAAATATCACGATTGGACTGAGCATATTGGAATTATTTCTGCCTAAATGCTTTTCTGGATGATCATAGATCGATTGGTTGATATTGGGAGCTTCGGGAAAAATTTTATAACTTTCGAATGGAACAACCAAGGAATATCGATCGAACGTAGACCAGAAGAAAGATAACTTTAGAATATCGTTTTCGAAAATCTTTACCAAGTTCTCACCTAACTGACCAATTGCTGATAGATCAAATTTTGATATACTTTGATGACTCTGAGTGTTCTCTCTTAAATAGTGAAAATCACAGATCTCTCCAAGGTTGCTATAAAAAGTTATTTAAGAAACAATGAAGCACATCATATTTTAAAATAGATAATAGATATTTTTTTTAAATAAATAGACACGACCACGACTCCAGTGTATGGCAAACAAAGTTTAATTTTATGATAGATCGCCAGATAGTGACAGATAAGAATACAATGAAGCAAAAAAACAAACAAGACTCTTCTGTGTCTAGATAATATTTGGTAGAAAAGAGATAGATGACGATTTCGAGGGCTAGACGTGTGACATAAAAAGTAACAAGTGAGAAGAAAGCATATCTACACAATTAAACTATTTGTTTGCTAAATATTTTTGTATGCTTTAATACAGTATGGCAATGAATAAATTCAATGCTATGGAATCAAATTCAATGAAATCCCTTACTGATTGTTTGTATTTTATGAATGGTCATTGCAAATTTGGTGAAAAATGTATGTATCGTCATTCGTTGAAAGCAAAAAAACAATTAACTCGGTGTAATAAATGGCCTGATTCATGCCGAAAAATACAATGTTCATTTCGACATCCCGTCATTATGGCACAACCAAAAGTAACAACATCAAATACGTTGACATCACGACTGTCGAAAGATAACTTAGTTAGTTTCTTTTGGAATATTGAAAATGTTCCTATACCTAAAGGACAAAAACCTTTTGATATTATTCAACGTATTCGACAAAAACTAGTTATCGAACCTAGTTTACAAGAAGCTGCTTTTTCTTGTTTTTGTAATATATATACAATATCACAAGATAATCAACAAAGTTTACATCATGCAAATGTTCGTATTATTCATGTACCTGATCGAAAACCAGGTGCTGTTGATCGACAAATTATGCTTGAATTAGATCGTTTTGAACGTGTTCATCGTCCACCAGCTACTGTTGTTCTAATTTCTGGTGATATTGATTTTGTTGGAAAACTAAGTGATCTTCGTCATCAAGCTGGATTTCAAGTCATTGTTTTACATAATATGCCTGCTAAAGAAGAACTAAAAGCAATAGTTAATGCTCACTATTCATGGGAACAATTCATCAATAAACAAACAACTATAATAGTTCCCAATTCTTATTCTAATGGCAAGGAACGTGAATACATATCAGCAAATCGTAAAAATCCTAAGGAAATGAAACAAAGAAATGTATCTCAACGTTGTCCTATGTGTGAAGCTGAGTTTAACACAATAGAACAACTTCGACAACATCAAGAAGATACAAGTCATTTATTTAATTGTCCCGGGTGTAATCGTGACTTTTTTACACTAGAAGGTCAACTTCAACATCAAAAATCCAAGAATCATGTTCTATGTGAGGACAAACAGAAGTCTACTCAAATCTATAGTAGTGATTGGTCACATGCAAACAACAAATTTAATGATGAAGATTCACTTTCTTCAGACAGTTGGTCTACTATATCCGATACAGATAGTAGTAATTAATTTTCATCGAACAATATCGTTAATCAAGGTGTCGTCGAAATTGTGCGAAACTTTTTCAACTGTTTGTTTAATACAATGAACTGTCAAGAAATTTCTCTAGTACTTTTTTTTTCTTTTTCTAAAAATAAAGAACATCATTCTGTTCTACTGTGAATTCATGTGAAAAATTTTCTTTTTTTTTATTTTAATACTTGCATGTATAATGTTTCTTCATTTAGTTTCATCATAGAAATAAATAAAAATGTATTATATGTTTATCTACAATCAGATAACACTTCTTTCAAGAGTCAAAATAAATAATTGTGAATAGAAGATGTTATAAATAGTATTATTAAAACCATAAAGTCATACAATTAGAAAAACCTTTTTTTCTATCTAGTAGACGTCACATGTAAAAGGAACTTGACATTGTTCATTTAAAAGGAAAACAAGTAACTGATTTATTTTCAAATATTTAAACTGTTTATCGTTGTCTAGTTAAGTATGAAAAACTAGTCTGATTTTTATGAGAAAATGATTATTTTTAATTTGATTCAATTTCGTTTACAGAGTTGTATATCTTCAGCCAACATTTTCTTATTGTATATGCATGGAATTCGAACTGAAAATAAATGGGTGGTATTTATTGTTGATTTTTATGAGTATTACGATATCTCGACGATAGTGCAACATGGGTGATAAGCATTAAATATCATAATATAGAATGTGTTATAATATTTGTCGAAGAGTTTTGAAAAAGAATGTTGAATTGAGGCCGCACGTTTCACGTTCTCCTTTATTCACCTATCCTACATTATAAAAAATATTCATGTTTTTTTTCTTCCTTCCTTTTTTCTCCCTGCCTTCCAGCATTTTATATCTTATTTTTCTATTTTTGCTGTTCTTACTACTGCCACAACTGGTTGTCGAGTTGATAGAAGTCAATAAAATTATCATGCGCATTGGTTTAGCTCAAAAAAACACATTATAATAGTATACTTGTTGCCATACTACAATTCAAAAACAATGAGCACATCGGCAAAGAAAAATTCTATATCATTAAAAATTTTCTTGTTTCTTTAGATTTCTATTTAACATGGCTCAACCGATGGATAGCAGTTCTGAATCTGATTTAAAGCATTTAATTGATTGTATCCATTTTATAAATGGTTGTTGCATGTTAAACGATAATTGCGGTTATCGTCATTGTCGTGAGGCTGCTGAACAAACAAAGCATTGTACAAAATGGCCAACAACATGTCGTAATACTGCATGCCCTTATCGACATTGTGCATTAACATTTCAAGCAATTAAAAAGAAACCGAACCAAATAGTAGAAACACAAGTGAATCAATTTTGTCAACCGCAATCACAAATATTACCAATAATACGACAAGAAGGTTTTATAAGTTTCTTTTGGGATATTGAAAATGTTCCTATACCTAAAGGACAAAAACCTTTTGATATTGTTCAACGTATTCGACAAAAATTAGTTGTTGAATCTGGTTTACAAGAAGCTGCTTTTTCTTGTTTTTGTAATATATATTCAATATCACAAGATAATCAACAAAGTTTACATCATGCAAATGTTCGTATTATTCATGTACCTGATCGAAAACCAGGTGCTGTTGATCGACAAATTATGCTTGAATTAGATCGTTTTGAACGTGTTCATCGTCCACCAGCTACTGTTGTCTTGATTTCTGGTGATATAGATTTTGTTGGAAAACTAAATGATCTTCGTCATCAAGCTGGATTTCAAGTCATTGTTATACATAATAAACTAGCTAAAGAAGAACTAAAAGCAACAGTAAATGCTCATTATCCATGGGAATTATTCACTCAACAACAACAACAACAACAACAACAATCAGTAAGAATAACAAATCAGTTATATCCAACTGGCAATGAACGACCAAATCGTATGCGTCATTCTAGTAGTTCTGGTAGTATTCGTCGAAGAGATCCATCACCATATCCATCTAATAGACAAGTACCGATTATTAATAATCAAGATATACAAAAGTTAAAATGTCCAAAATGCCCAAGGGAATTTGAATCCATTCAAAGTTTACAATATCATCAAAATACTAAAAATCATTTATTCAATTGTCCTGTTTGTAAGGAAACTTTTCTTACACAAACAGGTCAAATTCAACATCAAAAAGATAAAAAACATAATGTTCGTGATTATAGATGCAATCAATGTAATCGGTATTTTTCTAAAATTGAAAGTTTAAATCAACATCAACAAGCTACTGGACATATATCACCATTGATGCAATTAACAGATAATAGAAGATTTAGTCTTCAAGCAACTTCATCACCATTGTTACCTTCAAGTAATCATGATGAAAATAAGGATGATCAAGATCCTATGCTAATTATTCTGCGAGGTATTGAAAGCATAAAACAATATTATGAAAAGCATGGTTTAAGAATTGATTGATTTTTTTTTCCTAAGCAAAACTCATTCTTTTACTATTATTCATTCAAAAATTCCCAATAGAGAATATCAAATAATCATTCAATACTCAATAGATATTTGAATATTAAATGGTTCATTGATAAATCTTATGTATTTTTGAATGAATACTAATTAGCATTCAAATTTTAATTAGCATGTAGTAAAAGAATGAGGAAAAAAAGAATCAAAATTTTCGCTGTAAAATAATCTTCAAACAAAATAAACTATTGTTATACAAATGTATTCAATTAGTTTATTTTTGTTTGAAAAAAATTCATATTTTACTGCTACAACTCAATTATAAAATTTTGTTGAAACAGTAAAATAAAAAAAAAAAAAAAAAAACATATAAATAGTGCGCAGTGTTTTTCTTAACATATTCATGTATATATCAAACAGTGAATTATTCGAATTGAAAAGTGAACAATGTCGTGTCTAACTAATTGACATTTCTTTTTTTTTTCAAGAAATGTTGTACTCAAATTCGTTTGATTCGATTGTTTGTTATATATTTGCTTATTTTTTTTTTAACTTTATATTATTCGATTAAAAGAAATTTTCATTTTGTATTAACTCGTGTGTGTGTTTCTTATAAATAAAAGCAACTAAATATAAGATGGAATATTTCTTTCTGAGTTCATTCCAACAATTTTCAAGCAGAGTAAGTTTCCAAATGATTAATCTTGTGACTAAAATATAGAAATTTTTCTTGTTCTAATCATGTTTATACGTGTTTTTGTAAAAATGGAATATGAACTTCAGACTCAATTTGAGTTTTTCTCGAATCTGAAAATCTTATTTGTTTACTTATGATAGACTTACCTTTTCCTTCGAATATGGTTATTCATTGAAAACTAGAAGTTTTATAAATGTATAGATTATTATCAGAATTTATTATTCTTGCATACAGTAACAGTTATTTCTTCAACACTTGCATAGATTATTGAATCAGCATATTACTCGGCACTTGTAAAATATCAGATGCTATGATTTAAATTTTAATAAGAAACTATGATAATATTGTAAAACTCTTTTTGTAAAAGTTCCAAAAAATCTGAATGAATAACACACGATTTAGAAGTGATGATTTCGACTGTTAACCTCGACGCAGTGGACAACAACAATGTAGACATTTTTGTGAAAAAATGAGAATGATATTTTTTTTCTTCTAATTTCTATTATGTGGTACATACATGTATAGGAAAGATGAGTACAAAACGAGAGATGAGGGTAAGGATACAAAATGGATTCTGTCGATTTCCTCACACCCACACCCAGACCCAACTTTCACAGAATGTTTTACTCTGTCTGACATACCTACTTAGTTAGCATAAAGATGCATAAATGTTTCTAGATGGATATATAGGTTATCTATAAAACCATCATTTTGAAAAGTTCTTCACATTTAGTTGTTTCAGAAGTGCTTTAAGAGTGAAATAAACATATATTTGGAATCAACACGAAAAAATTGTATCGAATGATGTGTCATTGGTTCATTTTTAAAATAAGTTTTTTTCCGATAAAAAATTTCACTTTTGTCCTCATCATTCTTTGTATTAAATACTGGGAATTAATATTTCTATGGGAAAAAAGCATGAGTTTTTGACAAAAGATAAGACATGTACACGTTCTCTATAGAAATTCCTCACTGTACCCTTGTTGTGTGGTATTAATAGGCATGTTTTGAAATAAAAATAGGAAGCATAACAATTGTTAACCCTTATATTCTTGTAATGAATGTTATTGTAATAAAAACTATTTGTTGCACGTTCCTTCCAGAACATGACTATCAGAACGATCAAAAAAATTAACCCTTATCCCATTACTGTTGTATTGAATATTATCGTTTAACATTTTTGAAACATATAGAATAATCATGTTTTGATTTTTTACTATTATATGAGCCAATATTCTCTAGAATTTTACTATTAATTTGAAGAATAAAATTACACTGTGCTGCCTACACTCTTTTTATTGATAATATAAATCGATGGCTTTATGACACATTAGTTTTCATACTATCCATGAAATAGGAAAAATGAACCTGACACTGTTCAAATTTCAAGTTGTAGAACTGTCGATTCAAGTTCGAAGTAAAATCCTACCGTGAACCTTTTATCAATTTAAATACGAAAAAATTAACTTTCCATCAATTTATAGTTTTTAATAAGCCACAGTAGTATCTCTTAAGTTTATTATAATAAAAAATTCCTATTAGATGACCTCCAGGTGGTACCAGTAAATTATAGGCAACAGCTGTCTTTAATGCTATACCAGTTTAAATTAGTATACCGAACATCATTAGATTTTGCAGAATTCAAATGTGAAACACGATGTAACTACTCTGACTAGTTACAGGAAGATTATTTTATCCTATCTATTTTGGAGCATTTTTCGTCACTATCATCTTACTTCACCTTCCAGAAATATAATAAGGAAGTAGTTCATATATCTTAACGAAACCTTATTGATATACAATCTGTGAACAGCAGACATAAGATAAATTTTTATCTCAAGTCGAAGTTAATCATAATGATAGATAGAGTTAATAGTGTTATTAAATAGTTTGTCAAAGTTTTTGCAAGCCTTTGATGTCGTACTAATAATATCTCCTGAATATGTCTTCAATTATTATCTTTCAGAATATTTTCTTCTGATGTATGTTAAAATCCATACTAGAAATTGTAAGCGTACTTAACTACAACATCTCTAATATTTCTTATCATTTTTGAAACAAAAAAAAACAAAGTATATTAGCAAAATATCGATTAACTACAAATAGAACAGACTATCCGTTGTTAAACAGATTTCTATTATAGAATGTGTTTTTCGACATATCGTCAATAATAATAATAAATTGAAACCAGAGATTCTATCGCGGTTGGAAATCTGCAGCTGTCGTGACACTTGCCGCGATAGTTGTCGAGAAATTCTTCGAAATTCCCTTCTGTCACTATGCTAAATTAGCCCAGTTGAGTTGAATTCATCACGATTATGACTGTTAGACCTGAAGACATTTAAAACGGATGCAAACTCTTGCAATTTTACAGTCTTCCTAAAAAAAGACACTGTCGCGATGACGACACTATAGGAGGCTGAGTCGCTACACAAAATTTTTAAAGTTGTCGCTAAAGTTGATCCAACAATGTAGGGCTCATTCTTCCTCCTCGACACCAAAACTCCTGGTGTCGTCGCTAGAGACAATAGAAGCTAATAGAAAGCGTCAAAAAAAGAATTATGATAATTTATCATTAGTCAATTCTTTAAAAATTATTTAAATATCCTTCGATTACTTCCATCTCAAGTTCTTTATTTCATAAAAGAACCTATGCAATACAAATAAGTGAATCACAACTAAGATTACAATGAAAAAATAAATCCCATAGCCCATATATAAAATAATACTGCGCAAAAAGCTATAATAATTAAAATTTATTTGTTTTTGATTTGTATTAACGCTGCCGTTGGATATGTCAATAAATCATATGATTAACAGAATGAATATTATGATGTTGTTTGATTAAAGTTACAAGTCACTCCTATGAAAACGAATAACAAGAAACAGGAAAAGAAAAATTTACGATCGAAAGAAAATAAAAATATTGTTTTACATTTTATAGTGACTAGAGAAACAAATAAAAAATGGAAATTTTCATGCTATTTTATTTTTATGTTTATTTAATCGTTCGATTTTGTTCATCTGACTGACAAAAATCCAATGTCGAATTTGTACCATATAGCAAAGATTAATTTTATGTATCACTATTTAAGTTATTATTATTAGATAAATTTTTTGTTAAAGAACTATTCTGGCAAGTATTATTACGTGAACGATCATCATCCTGTTGAACAAGTGTAACGTAACAATTTTTTGATGATAGTGATGATCGTTGTTCATTATTATCATGTTCAATAGATAAACTATGATTATGATCGCTATTATTATGTAGATCCTTTATTTCATTTGATAGATTTTCTTGTGATTGTGGACGTAAACGTTGGACAACAGTTAATATTGCTATTAAAGTAAATGATGTTAGAATAAGCATTGTTGCCATCATTATATGAAGACGATTGAGAAGTAATGAAGCAAATAATGGACCAACTATAGACATAAAAAATAGAAAAGAAATTCAAAAATAAATCTTTCTGATTTTCTTGCTTCAACAAAAAATAAATACAAATTCCGTAAATTTTGATAAGAAATAATCCTCATAAATGAGTTTTGTCATTAAACAAATACAAACAAAAAAAGTTTTCGGTTTTCATCTAAAAATATACGACAATCCTTTTTTTTTCTCTATGTACAAACTCTATGGCTTATAAATATAACTCTCTCTCTCTCTTAAAACCAACTATCTTACCAATAGTTCCAGTTCCCATAATAAATCTTTGTAAACCTTGTGAAAATCCTTGTAATTCTTTTACTGTTAATTTAGTAAAGAGTGATACACTCGTAGCTGCTATAAATGGTAGAGCAAGTAAATCAAGAATAACAAAAACAATAAATAATGAAAGTAAAGGTTTATTCACAGCATTTATACTTGAATGAATAAACCAACCAAATAAATTTGATGCGATTGTAAAAAATGTTCCAAGTATACAAGCTAATGTTAATGATATGAAACCAAATATAAGTAATATTCGATCTTCAAAATGTTTTGAAAAAAATTTCACAAGTGATATATAAACAATAAGTATTTCTAAACCAGCAAATGCAAATAAAATTGATGTATGTACAGTTGTCCAATAAAAATGTTTTTCTGTAAATGCTGCTACTATTGTTTCTAATGCTGTTTGATTGAAATAAGTTATAAATGTAGCAAGAAATAAAACAAACATTTCAATACGTATATATTGATTAGAATATCTTTTTAATGATACACATTGTTCTTCTTGTCGTACGAGATGATCTGATTTTTTATATTTATGTTTATGTGAATCATTAGTTAAATGTGTTGATGATCTTCGATCATAAAAACAAAACCAACATACTATTACTAATACTAACCAAATTGTAGCCATTAAAAAACCAGGACCATTTAAATTATAAACATGAACAGGACCTAATAAAGATTTATATTTTAAAAATTAAAAATCAATCTATACTATTTAACCTATTCGAAAATTCATTAAACGAATAAGAAGTGTAAAACATGGACCAATTAACAAACCTAGAAAAAAAAGATGAAAGCACTCGAAATAAAAAAAAGAATAATTTTATGATAATAAAATTATCATCTAAATAGATTTCTGAATAAAATATAATCATTATGAAATATGACAATAGTATCGTGAAACATAACAAAGACAATAGAAAATTTTTATACCAAGTTGTCGACATCCAAGAATAATTGAAATGGCTTTTGTTCGTTCACGTTCTATTGTACGATGAGCAACATCGGCAAGAATCTAGTTTTTTATATATTAAATCAAATAGACTATTTCGTAGACATATTTTAATAACTTACAGGTGGTACAGCACCCATTCCAACACCAGCAATTAATCGTCCCAATAGAACAATATGTATATTATTAGCAACAAAATAAAGTATATTTCCACCTATTTCAAATATAGCAGATATCATGATAAGAAATTTTACTTTTCCAGTTATATCTGAGATTTTTCCCATAATTATTCCAGTAAAAGAACCGGATATACTATATGATGAAAGAATTAAACCAACATAAATATTAGCATTTGTCATTTTTCGAACATAGTCATATACTGTTGGAAGAATAACAGCATATTCAACACCGGTCATAAAAGCAAAAAGACATATTGTACAAAATGTTAACATAACATGTCGATAACCAGGCGTCCAACGAAAAAAATTTGTTGAATGTGTTACAGTTGCTTCAGATTTTTTTTCATCGTTAGTTTCAATGACATCACCAAGATATAAAGTAGATTTATTTAAATGTATTGTTGATGAGGAATCCATTGAATGATTCATATTAGTTAAATTATTTGTTTGTTCATCATCAGTCAATGTATGTTCAGATGATGATAATACACCAGGTCCATTACTACTTAATGATAATCGATGATGAGAATCAATCAAAGATCCATGCATTGTTTATCTGTAGCAAAATCTAAGTAAGATATATATGGTACAAAAATATCTTCCTCTAATACACAACTGTATCAACAAATAATACAGAAAACTGATTGATTTTATTAACTTATTAACCTTACTTGTTGTTGAATATCATTATATCTATTATAATGATGCTAAGTATTTGTTGAAAGTATATATATAGATATAATGTTAGAAATAGTTAAAGAAATCGGAAAGAGAAAGGCGAATAAATAAGCAAAAGTGAGTGCAAAATTAAATGAAGGAATAATATAGCTAACGTAGTAAGACATCAGTCAAAACAGTATTTTTTTTTTCTTCTCGCTTTTTTCTGTCTCGCTCGGTCGATGCATGCATCGTCTACTATTAGCAAAGTGAAGAAAGTGTAGTAGAGATGATGACGAAAGAGAACTGTGTAAAAGCAAGCACGGCAGATTTGTCTGATGATGAAGTTTCCTTTTTTTTCTCTTTGCTTTTCTATCATTAGTATTCGTTTCTTTTTTTAACTTTTTTTTTTTGCTACAAAAAATCAATTGAAAGCAAGAATCAACATTGTGGTTGACTATCAGACTCGGATACAATCCTACGTTTTTGTTTAGAATAAGACATTATCGAAAAAAACAAAAAGAAAAAAAAACGAAAAATTTTTATAAAGAAAATGAAAAGCCAATATTTATGATTAACAAAAAGTTTGACATTGAATATGAAAATATTTTTATTCATGTAATATGAGACAAGACATTTTTTTTCTATTGTATTCATCAGATTATGTTGATAAATGATGAACGTGATTCTAACAAAGAAAATATAGTTCATATTCAATTCTTTTTTATTTTATTTTTTTGATCCTCTACAATTTTATAAATATTTAAACATCTTTTATTTTCTTCTGCAACTGATCAAATAAGAATATAACCTTGAACGGGAATATTAGATAATCAAAAAAAAAACAAATAGAATAAATTAACCTACCAGGTATTTACTTTCACTATTGTATTGATCATTGAATAATGTCATAGTTTCTATGAACCACACATATATATATATATATATATAAAATAATCGTTTATGTCATGTATAAAAAAAAAACCATCCTATTAATGTTTTTTTTCCTTTTATCTTTGGCCTCATCACATCGCTTTGATTGTACTCTGTTACTCAACTTTCGTATAGCTATCATCAACTGGTGGAAAAAAAATGTGTGTGAGATCTGATCTCCTTCGTTTTTTTGCTGTTAGTTGTTGTTACTTGTACGTTTGTAGTATATATGCACACAATTTTCGTGTGTCGTGTAACATAATTACGCGGAAAAACGTTGGGCCGTTCTCTTCCGTTCGATAAAAAAGAAAAAATGTAATAATTTGAATAGAACAGAACAGGAAAGACAAAACTCGTGTCGAGCGTCAGGTACGGATCCATAAAGAAAAGAGAGATGAATAAGGTGTCTTGTATGTCAAATAATAATAAGCGTTCAATGTCCTTACAAGTCAAGGTATCAATTGAAAAGAATTGATTTGTTTTATTCTTATACAACGTTTATAATAATAACAACAATGATGCAAAAAAAAGAGAAAGAAAGAAAAAAAAGAAAGCAAAGTTTAACAGAACGAAGAGAAATGTTCTTGTGTTTCCTAGATCATTTAGTTGTTCCAAAAAAGATGAGAAAGAATTTAATAAAAAAAAAAGAAAGAAAGAAAAATGATAGAACACACCTTATGAGAAATAAATTGGACTATACATTAAAATGAGAAATAAAAATTAATAACAACAATAGAATTAAACAGAATGATTTGCTTCTAAAGAAAATAATCATTATCTCTTTATTTTTTCTTTTTGTTTTATAGAAATTAAACTAATCATCGATTCCATGCCACATTTGATGATGTTCTTCGATCAGTAAAAAATGAACGCAGTAATAAAACAGTACCAATAGCTACAATTATAATTAAACCAAATTGTCCTAATGACCATATTTGTACACGTTCTTGTAAATCTTCAGCACGTGCACGTCCAGTTGCCTCACGTAAACGATGATGTGTTTGATAGTCAATAGATTGTTCAAGATTTTCATGTATTTTATTTATTTTTGATTCAATCTAGAAGATATTTAATAGATTTTATTTCTTAAAAATCAAAAGAAAAATATTTACCATTGTTAAAGCACCTTCAGCAACACGTGGACCCGGATGTGTTATTTCATGTTCAGGATCTCCATCAACTTTCCAATCTATTGAAAAAACAAAAACAAGCAGAAAGAAATTTTTTTTTTTTCTAATTTCCTTTATTTTTATACTAACCAATATAAATAATTTTATGAGTAAATGTTGAAAATTCATTACTGAAACAAAATTGATAAACACCATCTTCTTCAACTTTTTTTTCAATTTGATCATATTGTTTTTTTGTTTCTTGATATAAAATTTTACCCGATGGACTTTTTAATTCTAAATCAACATCATAATTACCACCTGTTACAACCTTTACAGAAAAATCATAAATATTTATTTTAATAAAAAAAGGACTCAAAATATAAAATTTTGCTAACAAACTTGATATTCTAATACAAATTTTGAACCAGTTTTTAGTTTATCATGAAAACATTCTTTAGCATTATCCGGTAATTCAAATGTTAATTCATTTGCATGAATTTTGTTTAGTATTATTGTTATACAGATTAATAAAATATGTGATGATACAGGTAACATGATAGAAAATATGAAAGATTTATTGGATATATGCTTGAATGATTGTACTTTCAAAATGCATATATATACATTAGAAAAAAAAATCGAATAAATCAACCAATGAAAATTGAGACCACATCATCAAAAACAACAACATAATATATCATTCAAAATTAATTTTTGAAGTTTTTATATTAGTTTTTCATATGTAAATTTTTTATAAAATATATATTTTCATATGTTATTGATTTGAATTCATTTTTGTTTGTATTTTGCTAGCGATTGAGTGTCGCCACATATATATATCTACCTAGGCAACGAAAGAATAATTTTCTTTGACTCAATTTTTGTACAAATCATTAGAATTACGATAGATTATTGAGAAAAAGTCTAGAATTATGCGAGAAATCGATCCATTATTTCAAGCGATGAGTTATTTTCGTCGCCGAAAATTTGAACAATGTGTCGAAGTCACAACAACTCTATTAGAAAAGAATCCAAATGATCAAGTAAGAATTTTATAATATTTAAAAAAACTGAAATTCGATAATCAGTTTTTTTTTGTTGTTGTATATAAATAAAAATCTAGATAAAATCATTATTACATATCTTTTCGTTATTTTCAATTATAGGTTGCATGGTTACTTAAAATGCGTGCTTTAACCGAACAACTTTATGTTGATGAAACTGAAGTTGCTGATGATGGTCTTGCTGATATGTTAGATGAAAATGCTTTTCAACAAGTACCTATGCCTGGAACATCATATCGACAACCAACAGCTAATCCAAATGCTGCAATGGCAGGACCAAGTCCAGCAATGAGACCCATGACTATGTCAGGTCGACCAATAACTGGTATGCTTCGATTAAATACTCAATCAACACAAGGTGGTAAAAGTATGGAAAATGTATTAAAAACTGCTCGTACAGCAGCTACAGCAAGACCAGTAACAACAGCTACTGGTCGTTTTGTACGACTTGGAACCGTAAGTCATTATCAAAAAATTTTCACTGTTTATAAATCAAAACAAAAAAAAAAATAAAGAAATACAAATATCAGAGTAAAAATTATTTGAAGACTATCACATTTTCAATTATTCCATAGTTTTGAATTATTATCAAAATTAATTAGTAGTATATTCTTGAATATTGTTTGAATCTGTTTGATATTTTGAAAAATTTTTGTTAGACATTGAATTATTTTCTAGGCTTCAATGTTAAGTACACCTGATGGTCCATTTATTCAAGTAGGTCGACTTAATTTACCTAAATATGCACAAAATCAAGCTTTATCACGATCTTTATTTGAACATTTATTTCATCATGCAAGTGATGTTCGAACGGTATGTGAATCACCGGAAAAAAAACAATAAGAAAAATTGTTAATTCTTGTTTTTTTTTTTTTCTTTCTATAAAGGCTCTTCAATTAGCGACACATGCTAATGAAATATATCAAAATAAAGATTGGTGGTGGTTAGTACAACTTGGTAAATGTTATCATCGGTATATACAGATTTATTTTTTTTATTTTTCTTTACATCTGAACACTTTGTTTTGTTTTTACTTTTAGTTTAGATATGTTTCGTGATAGTGAAAAACAATATCTTCTTTCATTAGAAATTCAACCTATGGTTGATACATATTTATATTTAGCTAAAGTATATCTTCGTCTTGATCAACCATTATTATCAATAAGTAAACTTAAAGAAGGTTTAGAAAAATTTCCTCATGAACCATGTTTAATTCAAGGTATTGCACGTATTTATGAGGTTTGTTTAAAAACTTGAAAAACAAAAATCAACGAACTCTGCCAATTTAGGTGACCTATTCAGCAATGAAAAAGCGAATATTTTATGTTGTAGCATAAGTTGAGACATTTTACAAATGGTAGATACTAAAAGATGATTATGTATCCAACGTATGATCAGTTACTGATAATTGTGTTCCATGATATCAGTAGAAATTATTTGTAAAAAATTTTTCTATAAAGTTTTGTGTAGATTTTCATGAACTACAAGGCCATATATCTAACATCTTCGATAGGTAAAAATGTATTTTTTCAATGATATACCACTTTTCTTCACTAATGGTAAGTCTCTGTATCTTCAATGATGTTGATTATAGAAGATATGATCAGACAACAAACTTTCTTAGAAGTTACCTGCAATGTATCATAACAAAATACAGCATTTAGAACTTCTTCAAGATGAGTAAGTAATGTTCAAAATATTCTTGTTTTAAGAAGTCTTAATAGATTTGTGCACGAATTCTTTTCTTTTTATATTGTATTTCGACATTTTGGCTAACCATAAACTGCATTGAATAATTTATATTTGAACTAAATATTTTTGCTATCAAACATCGACCGGAAATTCTCGTAGTTATTATTTCCTGAATCTCGCACTGTCGCCCGTCATAGATCGAATTTCAGCGGAAAAAATATTTAGTTAGAATATAAACCATTCAATGCAGCTTGTTAGGCTCCTTCCGAATATTAGTTTTATTTCACACCAAAATAACATTTGATAGTCAAAATGATGACATGCAGTATTGAAAGGAGAAGTTTTATGTCAAAATTGGTTAAGATTTTTAAATGTAAGGCTATTTTGAGAAACATTTACTCATCTTGAGCAACTTCAAAATAGTATACTTTGTAGTGCTATATGGTAGAACATATCTGAGAAAGTTAGGCGTCTGATCTCACATTTTGTTTATCGGACACGTTAAGTATATGATCTTGTACTCCAAGAAAAATTCTACAAAGCTGTATACAAAAATGTTTTTTACAAATAATTTCGACTGATATGAAGAAGCACAATGATCATACTGTGGATACATAGTCATCTTTGAGTATATCTCATTTGACGTGTCTCAACTTGTTCTGCAATATGAAATATTTCATTTCTCAATCTTAAATGGGTTACTTAATCTGACAAGATTCTTTTTCTCTCTAAACAATTTTGTTATTGTTTTCTTATTTTATCATATAGGGTCTTAATGATATGGCACAAAGTATTGAGCATTATCGGCAAGTACTTAAATTAGATAATACTAATATAGAAGCTATAGCATGTATAGCTGCAAATCATTTTTACAATGAACAACCTGAAATATCATTAAAATTTTATCGTCGTCTTTTACAAATGGGTGTAACAACAGCATCAATATTTACAAATATAGCATTATGTTGTTTTCATGCACAACAATATGATATGATTGTTGCTTGTTTTTTAAAAGCATTAGCATGTGCTACAACAGATGATGAACGTGCTGAAATTTGGTATAATATTGGTGAAATGGCATTAGTATGTATTGATTTTATGATTAATAATAAAAAAAATTTTTCTTCTAATTTTCTTTTTGTTTTTTATTATTTGTTTTAGTATACAACAGATATTAATCTTGCTATACAATGTTTTCGTTTAGCACTTGTTCATAATAATGATCATGCAGAAGCATATAATAATTTAGGTTTAGTCGAATTACAAAGAGACAATAGTGAAATAGTAAAAAAGAAGATTATCTTTGTTTTTCTTTTTGTATTGTAAAATTAATTTTGAAATTTTCTTTTTTTGTAGGGTCAAATTTATTTACAAACAGCTCAAAGTCTTGCACCACATATGTTCGAACCATATTATAATTATGGTAAAGCAATGTATCAGGTAAAAGAAAAATTTATTTTAATTTGAATATATTTTTATTTTCTTTTTTCTTTTTTTTTTTATTAGCAAGGTGATTTACAAAGTAGTTTTCGTGCTATTAAAAGTTCACTTGAAATATATAAAAACCATTCAGATTCCAAACATATTTATGATGAATTAAGAAAAATGTTTTCAGAACTTTGATGTTGTGTGTTTTTCTTTTGTATGAACTTTCAGTTTATTCATATTATTTGTGAATATACAAAATTTGTGATTATTTTTTTACTTTATAATAAATCTATATAGTTTGCTAAATCTTTAACAATCATTTCCATGATAATAATAAAATGAGCAGAATATCGTAAGTTAAAAGTGTGAAATTTCATTGCGATCCACTTTATTTTGTGTTGAATCTATGATTTGATTTGCTTAAAAGTACAAACATGCACAAGATTTCATTTATTATAATTGTCTGAGAAGTTTGATATGAGCTGTGATAGTTACAGATGAATCGAAAATTGGCTTTTATACTTTTCCAATTCCATGTTATTAGATAATCTGAGTAATACGATCATTACACGTCGTGTTTCATTTATATATTCCTTTGTCATCAGTACTTCGTGAATCTCAATGTAGTTATGTTAAATAGCGCTTATTATGATACTCAGCTTTGAGAAACTATCGAACTTTGTAGAAATTCAGAAACAAACTTCTATATGCTTTTGCCAGGCGACGTCATCTTAAAAGCCTATGTACAGATTCGAAACACAAGGAGATTTATGTCAATTCTTTTAGTTTTTCTGTAATGCACATTGTACTTATTTCATCGTGGCATTTGTTTTTGGATCTGAATAAATTCTCGCATATTTTCAATCGATCATTGTTCAATTTTGCGACATGTTTTATTTTTCATATTTCTGTTAACTTAATAAAAATTTACATAGTTTGATTTCTAGTCTGTTTATAATACCATAAAAAGAAAAACTCAACAGGAATGGTATTAAAGCATGCCCATTTCCTGGTTGCCAGTTCTAGAACAGCTGCCTTTCATTAATGTCAATGTGTACACATCTTTCGAGTTATGAAAGAAAGTCAGTTTGTTTGTTAATTGAAACCATAAAGAACAAGCAAACATAGAGACATCAAAGAAGATTCAGGTTATTTACATTAATATTTTGCGCCTAAATACAACTATCAAATCTATTCGATGAACTATGACCATACACTGAGACAATGCATATCTTCAGAGCATAATTGATCATATTTTCACATAAAATTGGATTTTTCGGTATAAATTATCAAGTCGAACCATACATGAATACTTTCATTGATGAGTGTAACAATGTAAAAAACATTTCTCATTGACCTGTTTCAGTTTTCGTTTGAAGAACCAACACAGACATTGATTATATTGGATCTCTATTACACTTAAAAATTCTATGATAAAAAAAAATTAAAATAATTAATAGACAAAAGTCGTCTGACGTCTTATAATCAACACGATATATTATTGAAATTTTACAAACAAATTTCATTCACAAAATGCTAAAATATTTTTGTATTCAACGAGAATATAGCATTTTATGTGAACACAAACACTCATAGTTACTTTAATTTTAAACAATATATCTTATAATTAAAATCAAACTAATCATGGATGTCTTTATTTACAGAATAATGCCCTATTCTAGTTAAAAACCAAAAAAATACAGCTTATAATAGGTTTTGTTGTATATCTACTTAGTCGGATTTTTTAGTCTAGACAGTATACGTAGTTTTTACAGGTACTACCAAAGAACATGTGAATTGGTCTATTAAAAAATAAGTAACTGATAAATGTCATTCAATTATGATGAGAAAAAGAAAAGAAGAGTAACCCAAAAGAAAATCATTAAAAAATGAGGTGATCTACGGTGATTGACACATATCATAACAAACTGGTCATTTATTAACTCGTCATTTTTGTCCTTCATTTCTGTCTCTCGAATAACTATTTATCAATCATAATTACTTTTTAAGTTTTCATCCGTAGGTCACAATACTTGTGATCACTATATTCATATTATAGAAAATAGAACTACGTATTTCAATAATTCACAAAAAAAAACCTTGATTTACACAGAGTGCAAAAATATATATATAACTATTAGTGATTATTCTCTTCGAATATTAGGGAAAAAATGGCAAAATATCATAAAATTTCTGTTTTAGAAATAGTTTTCGTTTTTTTGTCTCTTGATGCTTTTTTTAATTGTGTAATCTAAAATGCGCTGCTAAGACTTTCATATTTTATATTTTATGATTATTATTTTCTATTACGCGACAGAGCATGCCAGATGCCAAGCATTACAGAACCATTCTTTTTAATCAAGCTTCTTTTTTTCTATTATATATAGAAGCAATTAAATAAATAGACTGTCGTCCCCATTTTTATAGGTTTTCTTAGACCTTCACCTTGTCATTCTTTTTTGTTATGTAAGAAGCACAATTGGAAAAAAAAAGCGCCCGCCATATCTCATATCTTAACATATTCTTTTAAGTTATAAAACTAATTAAATAGAGAATGAGGGTTGACTGAGAATTGAAGTGTCTCCAATTGACCTATTTTAAATTCTTGTTTAATTAATATCTCTCTCAAATATCATGATATAGAGGTGAAAATTTTATTGTAGCTGACAAAAATTTCATGTAATTTGAATGTACTTGATACAAAACCAGCTTTTACGAGAGATGGCTGTTACATTTAATTTTATTTGTCACATATTCTCAGTGTGTAACTTGTGTTCCAGAAATATTCATAAGAATTTGCAATACCACTACCTACTTCAAATATCTCTTACAAGGAATGGTCTCTCCTACTGATTCGTGACATTTTCAATGATATTTTGTCCAGATGTTAGAAGAATTATTCTGAGAAAAATCCTAAGAGGATTTGAGCTTTCTTCGACAGTTTGGACTGTTTTGCTGGTTGTTTTTCGCTTGGCATAAAGTATATACAGAAAGATTGAAATTCTATTATTCGATTTTTTCTTTATGTACCGTATGCGAAGCGGAAAAATCCGTAGAATAGTCATTACTTTCGAAGAAAGTCTAAATTCTCTTAAGATTTTTTTTAGAATAATTTCCCCAACATATAGACTAAATATCATTGAAAACAATATGGATCAGTAGGAGACATTTCCTTGTTAATAGAGCTTAGTAGATTCTTACTAAAATAACATAGTAGAAATACACATATTTATTCACAGTAATATAAAAAACTCGATAGACTTGTTGTTTTATACGAAATTATTTACTGTTTTATGTTTTGACTACATATAAGACATGACATTGATTCAGTTTCTATTCTTATAAATATTTATTTTACTATTTTCAATCTCAAATAATCAAATATTTGATCTGTTGTTTTTGTTTTGTTCGTGGTATTAAAATAAGTTTTGTCAGAGATCATCTATTTTCAGCTGCTCTATATTAAAATTTAGAAGACTTTTTCGTATATTCATGACAAATGTTGGTGTTTTTTTTTGCGTAATACCAATTGATTTATTTCTTAAACATTCATTTCTTTTGAACTATCATATTAATTTTTTGTTTTTTACTGCATGTGATATCATAAACGAAAAATAATTACATATTATTTACCGCTACGGATTAACTCCTGTAGTTGGTGACGATTTATCACAATACGATTAATAAAACAAATAGAACAAATAGCAAGTATAAAACTTGTTATAATATATGAAAGAGTCGATTTAAATATTAACATTATGTAACCCATTATTGTTGATGAAAGAATTTGTGATGCAAAATATGTACTATCAAGTATACCTAATATGGTACCTATGCCATGTGTTTGTATTTTCTGATTATCAGCAAAGTAAGTCTATAAGCATTAATAATGACAAAAAAAAAATATTGAATATTTAATGTACTAATCTTACTTCTCTATTAGCATGATACATCATAATAAGTGTATAAGGTATTGATGTTAATGATGCCATACCAAGACCGGATAATGATGCCATAATATTAATAATAATTATATTTCTTGATATATACATAATAAGCATAGACATAGCAAAAACAAACATACCAAATGAAAATGTTAAATGAATTCCAAATTGATTTATTAATGGTTTAAGTAATGGTGCATAAATTGCACCAACAACACAATGAAAAAGTAAACCATATGAACCAGCACGTATACCTTGATCATATCTTAAACGTTCTTCTGATGATTCGTCTGCATTTGGATCACCCATATAAATTGTTTGACCAACATAATCCGTAAAAAATATATTAAATGTCATTATAGCTGACCTATATATTTTATCATAAGAAAAACAAACGAAACAGTTAATTTAAAAAAAGAACGAATGAATATTTTTTTTTTCTTTTCAACAAACCATGAACAACATTCAGCTATTGTTAAACGACGTAAAACAAATGGCATGGTAATAATAGTTCTAACTGAATTTGATATTGTAGAAAAAATATTTTTTATAAATTTTATAGGAGACAAATAAGTCCATTTATGAGTATCAGTAAATGGTTCATCAGGATAGTCACTAAACGATGGAACTTTTTCATTCGCTGATATTAATGTACAACAAAGTGTAATTGAAAAAAATAAAAGAATAATAATAAATGTTAATTTTTCCTGTCCTTGCATATAATTCCCAAGAAATGATTCACTCCAATCAGTTGCTGTTATTAAATAACCTAGACATCCACCTTTACGAATAATCAAATGAAAAGTTTTATAATTTTATTTTTTTGTCATTTTTTTAATAAATTTAATTTTCTATTTACCAAATGATGTCATAAATGAATAAACAAAAAAACATGAAGATTCTTGTGATGTACCTTTACAAACATCATAAATTAATGATTCACATGGATTAAAACAAGCTTGAGCAGCAAAATCAAATAGAACACAAGTTATTGCTAACAGAACAATACCTATTTTTGGTGCTTGAATAATTTCACCTAAACGAACAGAAAAAAACAAGACCTTGAATTAAAAGCTTTAATTCTGTTTTGTTGTATTTTTTTTACCAATTGCTTCACTTTGTGGAATGAGTATAAGACATAAAATAATTGTTAAACAAAATCCAAGTATAAATGGACGTCGTTTACCAAAACGAGATCGACAATGATCACTAGCATGACCAATAACTGGACAAAGAAGGAAACCTAATAAAGGACCACAACCCATTAACCACGTCATTGATGATTCAGATATTCCAGCTTTGAGTAATAGTGGTGGAATATAAGTAAATGCTGATGCTGTACAAAATTCTAATCCACATACAAGTGATGTTATAATAAATAAACGAAAAAAATCATCATAGATAATTGTATAAATTAATTTCATATCTGTTTTAATAATAATGATAATAACTGATATTTAACTGAATTCATGAAATAATCTACACTAGAAATATATCTTGACAATATATATTACTATAAATAGTCGACACATTTTGTTTTGTTTTTCATTTTTAATGACATACCTGTACTTTTTTTTCTGTTCTTTTATATAAGAAATGATAGATTCATTGGTAACACATGCTTACGTATGTATAGTTCAGCTATTAGAAAAAAAAATCGATTTGCTTGTCATAAAAAGAAAAGCGATAGATATGTTACAGCTGCGTAAGATACTCCAATAAAATAAAGAAAATGTTGTCCATCAGACAGCAAAGGCGAGAAAGAATACAGAACAAACGACTTTTTGTTTATACTCATGTCGTCGTTTTTTTTTCTTCTATTTCTGTCAAGCAAGTCATAAATGTATTGGCAGTACGTTCGAAAGAAGCTAATCAACATAGCTGCCAATTGTACTCGTTTTTTGTCAATAAATATTTATTCTCATTTTGCTCATTGTATACTTCATAATAATCTTCTGAGTAAGCATTCATTTATATGAATACACCTGTATATGTTCTATTAAAGAGGGCCTCAACAAAAAAAAAGAAAAATAAGAAAAAAAATTTGATACGATTAAATCATATCGCTTACTATGAATGTCACATCGTTATTTTCGTCATTAATCTGTTACGAGTAACATTAATGAAGAAAAAAACGAAACGAAAAGAACTGATTCTGTTGGTAATATAAGTATGTAGGAAAATTAAAGAGAAATTTTGTCGTGACGTATTCTTTTATTTGATGAAAGCAAAATGATAAATTATGCAAGTTCTACAACATCAAGAATTCTTGTTTTTTTTGTCTTTCAAAAATATTTCTTCAGTTAAATTAATATGTTGCATATGGCATATTATTTGCTTGATTTATCCATGGCATTGGTGGTGCTTCAGCAACTGGAAATGCATGTTGATGATGTGGTGGTAGTGGTGGTGGAGCGAAAGGAACAAGTGTTGGATGAGCAATAACAGGTGCTGAATAATCATGAACAACACGTTGACGTATTTTCATTTTACATGCAATATAAATAATAATATAAATGAAAGAAATAATACAAGCTACACCTACATTCAAAAATGAATAAAGATAATCAATAGTATAAAAAAAAGTAAAATCATAGTTCTTACCAGCACATCCAACTTGAATTTCAAGAAAAAGTTTTTTTGAATCATAACTTGTATAATCTTTAAATGATGGTATCATTTGTATTAAATAATTTAATGATATTATTTGTGATTGTGTTGAACATGTTGGTGTTAAAAAACATGTATATGGATCTAAAATGAATATGACGTCAAATGCAATTAATACACCTAAAGTAAGTAATGTAAGTAAATTCCAAATTAATGCACATGTTGATGAACCAATTGTTGTTATACAACATACTAAAATTATTGGAGAAAAAAGAAAATTATAAATCATTTTATAGATATAAAATGATCGAACAAAAGTTTAATAACTACATATTTTGTTATATTGTCAAGCAAATAGCTCAAATCTAGATAGTACTTGTGATAGCTAATGGAGTTTTTTAAGTAATAGAAACTATTTTTTTTAACATTCTCTATTTCAAATAGAATAAAATCAGGAATAACTAAATTTTTATGATCTTCCCTCAATTAGTTAAAAGAATCATAAAAATCGTTTCTGGTCGATTTTTTTAAAAATTTTCGTGATGCTTATAACTTTTTAAAGGAAACTCGTAGGAAATACGAGAATCTCTCATTTTTGTTCTATTTAAAATGATATTGTTAAAAAATAACTTCTGAAACTTGAAAAGTCCATTGATTATTAAAATAACTATCTGAATTTTGAGCTAATTACTTAACATTTTAGAAAAACTCATTCTTGTTAAACTTTTTTACACTATCGTATTTTTCTTTGCAATATCTACCTGTAGCATAAATTACAATAACATTAATAAAAATCATAATTGATGCCCAAATACCACCAAAAACATTTGTATGCCAAAAGTCCATGAGAATATTACAAATTTCAGTTAAAAAAATGATCTAAATAATGAATATGAGATATTAAATAAATAAAAAGAAATATAATTTACCAATCCAACAAAAATTTCAATACTTGCAACTGATCCAAGTACACAACGTGGCCATGAACGTTTCCATGAAAGATTTCGTTCAAATTCAGCTTGAATAATAGGATCAACCACCATATTGTCTTTTAATTAATTTATTAAAAATTTGAATTCTTATGTTATATTTTAAAATAATTTATCAACGATGTCGACCAAGTGAAACACAGAGTTTTGATCAAATCTTCCTTTTTTTATTGGTCTTTTAAATCAAAAACAAAAAAAATACATAATTCATAATGTATGAAAACAATTTGTTAAATAGAACAACTTTATAAAACAAAAAAAGAAAGATTTAGCCTATTTTGTTTTTCTAATAGAAATAAATGTGTAAACAAACATGATTAAAAGTTTTTCATTCAACATACCAATTGATGTAATTGCGAAATTTACCTCTGGTTTTTTATGAAAGTATAACTGTTACTTTCTTTGCTTTTATGTCTAGTAAATTACCGTACCCTTGTCATTAGAGCTTACTTTCTATTTTTTTTTAAATTAGACAGGAAGTACGTCTCAAGTTTAAGGAAAAAAGCATATGAGACAACATATGAAGAGCGAGATATAGAACGTAAACCAGAGAAAAAAATGCGGAAGCAAAAAAAAATGTAACATACTTGATAAGATATAAGATAAAAAGAGCTCTGTCTCTTTTGACTAATGTCTCACTATTTAACATCTGCGTTAACATTTTAGACTAGAAAAAGAAAGTTTCTCTTTTTTTCTTCTTCCTCTTACTTAGGCGTTTTCTACTAGGTCTAATAAGGGAAAATTTGTAATCATACTCATAAGTATGGAGAAAAAAAAAGAAAAAAAAAGTGAAGATGAAAGTTTCTAGACAATATAAGGGCTATATTTTCATTCTTAAAAGTGACAATATTATTGTATTAGCGTGACTTTTCCATTTTGAAAGTACAAGGGCAAAAAAAACTAACGTTTCAGAATAATTACAAATACAGTAATGTTTATGAAAGAGAACGTTGAAATAGAATAACCTTGAAGCCATAAAATCCAATGTGTTGATAATGTGTGAAATGAAATTTTGCTTAAATTTATCTTTAATTTCATACATATGAAATCATTCTAATATCAAATAAAATAAGCATATTCAACTTCATACTATCAAAGTGTGTCGCGAAGAAAATTAATTTGTTCATTATAAAATGTATATTGAATATTATGTGTTCAGCAATGTTTTTAGTTTATGCAAAAAGATAGTGAAATTCATTGATATATCAAAATTAAAAAAAATAATTATTACATTTCTTGACATTCTATCATACAAGTTCTCCAATCTTTTTTTTAAAAACAAAGATACATTAAATTAAAAATGTCATAAAAATGATTTAATCCAGTACGAAAACAAAAAATAAGGAAATAGATTATTTAATATTATGTAATCGTCGATGTCTAAATTTTGGATTGCTAAATATTCTTGCTTGATTTTTTCTCGCATACACAAATGAAATGGAACATGTTCACATGTATAAGCTTCACCAGAATAATAACAATATTTAGGTGAATCCATTTTATATAATCTAGCACCACCAAATGCTGAACGAACTTCTAAAAGATCTCAACCACTTGGAAATGATTTGATATGAATATTGAGTATATTTTTTAGTAACGAATCTACACGATAATCACTAATGAATCTCATTGATTATATTCAGTGTTTTATCCAGGTTTTTTGCTCCGAGAAGCCGAATTTACTTCTCGAGGGAGGGGGGAGGCAAGCAAAAGTTTTCGCAGTTGAAAGTTTTTTAAGGCGATTTTCTTATCTTGATATTTTCCGAAAGATAACATAGGCAGTAATGACGGAAATACTCCTCTTCTGAACTTTTAAACAGAAAATTCCTGCACCGTTGAAAAAGTTCGAAATAGTGATGTACAACGAGAGAGTTCGACGCCGATTCAAATTACTAAAGCATTATTGTTGAATTATATTCACCAAAATACGTGTTTGACCGGAAAAAATTCAACGAAAAAATGTTGAAAAAAATATGGATGTGAACAGTAGTCCAGAACTATTTTTTGAAAAATTCTGCCCAGAAATAGAAATACATTATAGTATAGAATGACACTGATTTTCTCAAGGGGGAAAGTGCAGGCACCCAGCACCCAGCACCCAGCACCCAGCACCCAGCACCCAGCACCTGCTCAGCACGTATACCGCATTCCACAGTGAGCATCTACGGTACCTACGACACTTTCAGCATCTTCAACAACTATTCTATTGTCTTAAGTACTTAAGATAATGAAACAATGTTTGCAGGTGCTGAAGGTGCCGTAGGTGCTCATAGTGAAATGCGGTATAGGTGCTGAACAGGTGCTGGCAGGTGCTGGTAGGTGCTGGTAGGTGCTGGTAGGTGCCGGTAGGTACTGGTAGGTGCTGGTAGGTGCTGGTAGGTGCTGAGCAGGTGCTGGGTGCTAGGCGTCTGCACTTACCCCCTTGGATTTTCTAATGGAGATCAAACATAAATCAAAGAATAGACAAGAAAAATACTAGTTCCGTTCTTTTCGCTCAGCAACTGTAAATAATAAATCATGTACGTATTTCTTAGGATCTCTAATGACACAATAATAGAGTAAGCGAGGTTCCAGTATCCTACGAACCGATCGAAAATCATCCGTTAATTCTGGTTATTATTGTGACCCACAGTTAATCGCGGTTATTTCCTTTGTTCTGGAGGTTTCACAGCGTAAAAACCGAGGGTCTAGGACAATTGATCATGGGATAGCTTATCACGGACAACTGATCATGATCATCTGATCATGGAAAAACTGATCATGACGACAACTGATCTTCAACAGTTGATCATAAAAAATCTTTCAATAATTGTCATTTATTTCCAAACAAAAAGGAACAGAGAGAGGGTGTGTGATGGGTGCGAGTGTGGGGTGGGTGCGGGTGTGGGTATCGGGTGTGGGTGGGTATGTGTGTGGTGGGTGCGAATGTGGGTGTGGGTGGGTATGTGTGTGGTGGGTGCGAATGTGGGTGTGGGTGGGTGTGGGTGGGTGTGGGGTGTGGATGTGGGTGGGTGTGGGTGGGTGTGCGATGTGGGTGTGGTTGTGGGTTTTAAAAATAAGAAATAAATTCACATCCACACCTACAGCTACAGCTACAGCTACACTCACACCTACATCTACACCCACACCCACACACCCACACCCCGGTTTAATATCTAGTGATGTTAATGTCGATAATGCTGTTACAAGAATTGTTTTCCATAGATCATCATGCCAATTTTACATTCGAATATAAAAAAGTTCAATATTTTGAATTTTTTTCAACCAATCTTTATGAATTTCTTCTTCAGATTAAATCCCTCTAATATATTCTCTGTGTCACTCCAAAAAACAGCAATTTGTCCGAGGCAACACCTAAAGTAGTAAGCAGGTAAAGTTTAACAAATCAATTTTTGTTGCCATCTACTGTTTGAATTTTTAGATGCTATTGAAATTAATGTGAATTGATCATAAATTGTATCTAGTAAAAGTCATTCTATTGTAGAAGATATCACATCATGAATATATGTAGCATAAACTACACTTTTAGTTTTATATGGTTGAATTTTATCGAACTTCAAGTCTCAATCGTATATCATAGCAATATAAACAGGCAGCTTTCTATCTATAACTTGAAATAGTTTTCGTGAGTATTAATTCTCATTTAATACAGTAAAATGCAATGCTTATCATATTTCAAGTCAAAACATTCTTTTTGCTCTAATTATTACCCTAATGTTGCAGCTCAATAATCCTGTAAAATAAGCAACCCATCTACATCCAACCTTCAAGCTTTTACAAATTTTGTCCGAAGGTTCTTCTATCGATTGTCTCTAATTTCTATTAGTGCAAACATTCCTGAACTACACAATGAATTTCGAGTAAACTAAGTTTTCAGGTGTTCCTAAGTTTTTTTCTGGCTTTGCAAAAAAAACTTAATAGACGAAACCAGTGTAGTAGGCAACATCACATTAAATTGTGTTGAATGATAGATAACACAAAACACTTTCGAAGAAAAAGCTTTCTCGAAAACAATCAAGACAAGCGTTTTCTTCAGGCATTTCTCCTCGAGAAACATTTTTCTTAAAGAATGATTTCCTTGCTTAAAAATGCTTTTCTGCGTCATATTCAATCATTTTTTTCGGCAAACACATCTGTTTTCGAGCAAGATAGTCCCATGTTAACCTGCCATGCGAAAAATGCACACTGTGCTTCCTCTCTTTCCTTTATCTGCACTTCCTTTATGGATGACTAAATTTGTTTATTATAGAATGTGTTTTGAACATTATTTGTTTAACAATCATTTCAGTTCATGTAAAAAAAAACTGAGTAATCCATTCATATATCAAAATTAAAAAAATAATTATTACTTTCCTTGACATTCTTTAAAAACAAAGATACATTGAATTAAGAATGTCATAAAAATGATTTAATCTAGTAGGAAAATAAAAAAAAAGAAACAGATCATTTAATATTATGTAATCGTCGATGTCTAAATTTTGGATTAATAAATATTCTTGCTTGATTTTTTTCTCGCATACATAAATGAAATGGAACATGTTCACATGTATAAGCTTCACCAGAATAATAACAATCTTTAGTTGAATTCATTTTATATAATCCAGCACCACCAAATGCTGAACGAACTTCCAAAAGATCTCGACCAACTGGAAATGTTTTTTGATGAATATTAAGTATGTTTTTTACTAATGAATCTAGACAATAATCACTTATAAATCTTAATGACCATACTCGATGCCACACATCATAATTAAGTATTGTATCTGATAAAGTTCGTAATGCCCAAATATCATAATATGATCCAATCGTATTAGCCGTCATAACAGACCAATTATTAGTATCATACTCGAAATTAGAAAGAAATGAATTTACATTTGTAGCTAATATATCTATATCGAGAACAAGCATATAATCCGATTGTAATTGACGAACTTTTTCTAATAATTTATTGCGACAAAATGCAATACGTTCTGTACGTTTTGGAATAGATTTATATAAATTACGATATGTATAAATTTGAGCACGAGACCATTGATGAAGAATTTTTAATGTATTATCTTTTGAATCACTTTCACAAATAAGTATATGTGATGATGGATGAAATAAATCAATAATTGATTCGGCATAGTTTCGAAATTTATCGATAACTTTTTCAGCATTATGTGCACATACAACTATAGCTAATCGAAGTGACTGAAGTCGATGATGAAGATTATTAGCTGTTAAATTTGATAAACGTCGAGGTAGATTTATTTGTGTAGATTCACGTTCAAAAAATGCTCGTTTATCAGATACTTTAAATGGTCGACATTGAGAGCTTTGAGTGTTTACAACCGTTGGTTTTCTTGATGACAAATATGCACATGATGAATGATTAAGAGAATTTTTAAATGATAGTTGAATTGATGATAGATTACTATTTCTTACAAGTGATGATAGTGGTAGAGATGTAAGATAAAGTACAGAAAATACAATGACAGCAGGTAGTAATAAAAGTAAAAGAAAACGATTATATGTCGCACGAGATTTCATCATTATGTTAGAATATGAATGAATAATCTATAATTGACAATACTTAAAAGAATAGAATCAATGAGAGAGGAAGAAAAGAAACATTTGCAAATATACTGATAAAAGTCAAGTGATTTCTATGTTCTCTTTTTTCCTTATCTTTTCTGTAGATGGTAGATGTTTGCAGATTGTCGATTATAATCAAGACTTCGATCATGTTAAGCTGGTTGCTATGTTAGAAATGGCGAAAGTCGTTAAGAAGCAAATGCAATTCCATATTGAAATTCAATTTTGTCTTTCCCATTTTTATCATTTTAGTTGTGAGAAGTCTATTCGCACGCAGACACATAGACACCAAAAACGGTGTTTGGACGTGTTGATGATAAAAGTTGAAGAGAGCAACGTGTTAACACTCTTACACATGACTATTGTAAGAACTCAACGCGTGAAAACGATATTTTCATATCATTGACACGTTTTAAGGAATTTAACAAAGATATCAGGTTCATGAGCATGTTTTAACGCACGCAAGTAATAGATTAGCAGATTGAATATGTTTTAACATGAATACTCGTCCGTTTTAGGGCATTAATGAAAAAAAATTAATTGCAGGGTAATCACTCGTTCTAACTAATCTATATAGTATTCTTCTATAGTAAAGTGTATGTGTTGTAAGGCAAACAACTATCAATTTATGAATGGTAGAAATTTGCACTTTTCTTGGATACTGAATGACAATATAGATTTACGAACAAAAGGATATACAAGATCAGCTTGAATTTGAAAAGCAAGCTTTTAGATCAAAGATTTGTAATGAATACGTTTTAATTGATCAATGTGATGCTACCTAGAGTACGTTTCTACATCGGTAAACATGATCACATGTGAATAAAATATCTGCTACGGTATTTGCCTTATTGTCAGGCAACTATTGTGTGATACCTACATCCACAACTAAGTATAGTTAGATTTACAATCGAATTGGAATATTTAATTATTATAACTATAAAATTTTCATTTTGTCAAGTTTTATAGCAATGTGACTTTTTCGAATTTACAAATCATGCTTTTATTCGCACTGGAAAACAACATCCGCAAGTAGAAAATTGAAGTAATTCTAATTTTCATCTTTCTTTTTCTGTTTAAAAATCGCTTAAAACAGCATAACATTAATCGCATTTCTAAACGTAATTATAATTAAAATCGATTCAATTTTTAAAATTGATTAAAAAATTGGATACTTTGATTGAAAGAGATTTTAATAGATTAGCATTCAAATCATGTCATTAGTAATCTGATTAAAATCTATTGAAAATCGAGTAAACTCATGTAAATCGATTTTTACAAATTTATTTGATTTTAATCACGATTTTGATAAAGAAATTCGACTCAATACAGATCAAAATAGTTCACTTACAATCGATCTGTTGTCACACAAGAAACTAATGAAGTTAAATTTTTTCCGATTTCTTTTACATGAATCAACTTCTACTATTCGTACAAGCTGTAGGTCTATGCACGTAATTTTCGTTGCATATAAGTATAAAATCTAATTCATGTAGTAATAAGTGAGTTCAGTCGAACTGTATATTGGCTGCTTCGTAATCGTAAGTATAGATTTCTGTGGTCCAATTTACATTAAAACAATCTTAAACAAGTTACAATACCTTGAACAAGAACATAATGACTGCACTAGCGCAAAAATACCTTCGTTGAGAACGTGTTTAAACGTACGAAAAGTGTCCGACGTTTTGCATTTTAATGTGTTTGGTTTACTAACGCGTTTAAACGCTAAAATTCGGCCATTTTTGACTGTGTAAAATGTGTGCAAAGAGAGAACGGATAACAAGTGTGATAACGCGTTAATTTGACTTTTCTGACTGCTTGGGTTTCCATCAAAATCAGACTCTTCCAACCATTTCACATTGCACCCAACTTCATTTAGCCATTCCTACTTTGTCCATATTATACGGGGTGGACCAAAAGTAGTAGAACAAATAATTTTTCAATTTTTTCTTTATACATCGGCAATTACATGACATATTTATACTGCACATACTAGGTAATATTAGTCAGAGCTGTGATATATGATCATGATCAGCCTCTGCGTATAATAATTTATTCCAAGACATATAGATAGGTCTTAATTGCTCTTATGAGATTATACATAAAATTCGATGTTTTTCGTGTTACATTCAATTTTCATATTCTTCTCTGCCTATCCCAATCTAAGAAAGAAAATGGATTCAATCAGTTTTTGAACTCCTTTAGACTAAAATAATACAAAATCCGATTGAATGCAATTTGTTTCTTAGATTGGGATAGGCAGAGAAGAATATGAAAATTGAATGTAACACGAAAAACATCGAATTTTATATATAATCTCATAAGAGCAATTAAGACATATCTATATGCTTTCGAATAAATTATTATGTCCAGACCCTGATCATATACCACATCTCTGACTAGTATTACCTAGTATATGCAGTATAAATATGACATGTAATTGCTGATCGATAAAGAAAAAAATTGAAAAAAAGTATTTGTCCTGTTACTTTTGGCCCACCCTGTATATTGTAAAAGCTGTCAGCATGCAGAGTGTGTCGATCGTAATTCTTCCACGGATTCATTCTTATGTTTTGTCGATTTATCTATCAAGTCGAAGCTGTTTCATTCCTCTCTCGAATGGCGTATAATTATATAGGAGTAGGTTGTTTCATTGTCTATTTTTCATGTTGAAACTTCATTACTACTACACATAATATGTGAGCCCCCCCATGGTGATGACTACCTAACAATATTTTTTGATGGTTGAGGTCTACTATACTTTGAATACTAATCAATGGATGTTAGCGAAGTTTATTAAAGTGAAATCAAAATATCTATTAAAAAAAGTAGAAGAGTGTATAATTTCGTTAGAATACTGCGACAATCTCGTATTATTCATTAGAAGAGATCATGGCATAACAAACCTCGTATCCTGAAGCATGGTGTTCCATTCTGCCTTGTATATCATTCAGTAGACCTTGTTGAGAAACATCGAATGAGATCAGAATATTCATCGACAAAAATGGGAGAGTTGCTCGTTTCCTGGGAATACTAAAAAAA